AACTGGCTGTAAAAAAATGATGGTGAATTAGTAGAAGGGCTATTAAGATGAATTGATGAATGACGACGATGAATTTATTGAATTTCTAATCATTATTGCTGATATAAAAACAAATAAGTGCATAAAAAATTTAAAAAATTTAAAAATATAAATCCATTAATTCTCTATCTTATCACACACACGTACACACGCGTACTCGCACACACGCTCGCACACACACACACACACACAAACACACGCACACATGCATAACAATAACTACATAAGTAGCTTTTTTTTAGAATATATAATTGTTAATTTCGATTTTAAAACATTTAACCAATGAAAGCCAAACATGCATAAAATTTCTTCTTTTACAATGTTTTAACATGAACAAGATGACACTTAAAATAAACTATCTCAACAATACGAACAGACATACATGATGGTTATGTCACAATAAATACAAATTTCTATGAAATTTAAAAAAATTTTGTTTTATGAAACGCTGTTTGGAGATTGTATGTGTGTGTGTGTGTGTGTGTGTGTGTGTGTGTGTGTGTGTGGTGTATAGGTGTGTGTATGTATGTGTGTGGTGTATGTATATGTATATGTGTCTGCATATATGTGTGTGGTGTGTGTCTGTGTATGCGATTGATAAAGAACAAGATAGCACAGTAACGTCAATTTGACACTCACATGATGGCGATTTTAGATCCCATAGATGATAAAGATTGTAATTTTTAATTCTATGGTTTCAACACAATGCACTTTAAATAAAAATGGCCAACGAGTCATCGCAGAATATGCCACAAATATTTTTAACAGTGTTTCATTTTATTTTTTTTTCTCTATTCATTTTTATTTATTTTATAAAATTATTTTTTAAATTTTTTTTGTTGAAGTTGAGATATAGACGTTTAGACTGAAAAAAATACCAGCACGTAATTTTGCGTTATGCTAAGCCAAATGAGGCAAAGCCAATTCACCTCTCCAAGTAGACCATCACATGAACATTCTTAACGAAAAAAAAAACACCTTTTCTGATTGGTTGAATCCGTGGAAAAATGAGTCACCATGAATAAAAAATATAGTAAGAAAAATTTCACAGTATTAAATTAATCTTCAATCACAGAGACCAATCTCAAGAACTAGAAAAACATTACCTAATGGCATTTATAACAGTCAAACTTGAACGAAATTCTGAAATCATACGCGACAGCCAACACTTACAACAACAACCACAATAACAGTAACAACAACAAATGGAACCAGACCTCAGGGGGTGGTACAGGATGGGCCAATCTTTCCCCCTTCAGCAGATCAGACCAGCCGGTGTAGTAGCCAATGAGTAGTGAGAGGGAGTTGAACTCACGTCCTCCTATGTAATATGCCCCACAGACTGCAGTCATTCTGTAGAAGTGGAAATTTTTTTTCATTATTTTATTATTTAGTAACAAAATATTAATATTTTGTTAGTAAATATTTCAACTTCACTATTTCAATTCTTTGTTAGTAAATATTTCAATTTCGCTATTTCAATTCTATTTAAAATGTCATTTTAAAGAAGAAAGGCCATATTTTAAGAAAAAAATATTTAAATCATTTAAATCACAAATAAAAAAAATTATCTTCAAAGCATTTTATGAATACTTCAAATAAGTATACAATACAATTATCAATAAAATAATAAATGATAATAATAATGATAAACAAAGACTTGAAATGGTTGATTCCGGTTTTTCCAAGAAACGAAAGAACGTAGGCCCCAGGCTTTCTGTCACTTTCCCTGATCAGGTAACTGCCTAATTTCTGATGTTCCAACAGCCTCTTCTCTGCCTGAGCCCTGTCTAATCTACCATGGTACCATCTAAAGGAGAGTTGTGATTGGTTGGAGAAATTTAATTAGTGAGTTTTGAACGGATTAGTTGGCTGGTTAATTTTAATTAGTAAGTTTTGATTGGTTGGTTTTTATTATTGGATGGTTTTTATTGGGGATGGTTTTTATTAGGGGATGGTTTTTATTGGTGGATGGTTTTTATTGGTGGATGGTTTTTGATTAGTAGTTAGTTTTACAAAAATTAAATTATAATTTTGTTTTTTATTAGATGTTTAAATTTTTATGACAAAGCTCAAAATGTCTTATATATTTTTTGCTTTAACAGAAACCAGTGACTTCTGTGCTAGATTTAATAATAGTTTCAGTCTTGCTACAAATATTACTATCTATCTATTCATATACACTTTGATCAGTATGTCATTTGAAAAAATTTTTTCAACACTGGGCTATATCAAAAAATATCCAGCATATCAATTTTATTATAAGAATAATTAAAAAGATAATTGAAAATAATAAATAAACGTTTCTGAATGAAACAAAATTAAAAATTATTATTTTAAAAAATTGTTAAAAAAAATTTTTTCTCCCTACTCTGTTTCGGGCGGTGCCTCAGGAACGCAGTCAACATTCTCCTCGACACATTCTGTAATTTCAAACGGGTCAAACTCGTCTGCCCCATCAAAATCGAGAGTAAGATGGAACTCTGGGGCCTCCATAGATTAGTAAACTCCCATCAAAGATTTTCAGATAACTTTTTATATCAATTTTTCTTGTTTTGTCTTACTTTTTTTACTAGATTCATGGGAAAATTGTTAAATATTGTTAATGTTTTACTAACAAACTAAATTAAATTAACTGACAGTACTTAAAATTATATATAATTTTAGTATATAATTGAATAGAATATAATAAACTCATTGACATGTGTGCTATGTTAATCAATCACAATCAGCTGTTTATCTGTTACTTAGTTAAGCAATGTTGTTAAGTTAACTAATCCTTTTTAATCCAATTATTAATCAGTTCAGTACTTTTGATTTTGCTTTTGACTGATTTAAAAGAGTCCAAGAAGAATTATTAAATCAAATTACAATTTAGTATCAAATGATTTTAAATTTTTAAGCCTTTTTTTATTTTAAATATTCAATAATATGTTTGAAAATAAAAAAAACAAACTTAAATAAAATAAAACCTTCTAACCTGGAAACAACAATCCAGATGTTTTCAGTCAAAATGCTACAATTTTTACGCAAACTAAACGGTACTAATTTAATTACGAATTAAACTCCAAATTATTGTTAATTAAATTATTAAATAGGTACATAATTTAAAAAATAGATTGCTGAAAAAATGCAAGTGGCCCTCTTAATGATCCGGCAGATTATGACCAATAAAAAATCGGAAAAAATTTAATTTACTAAATTTCAATTAAAAATAATTACCTTGAGACTGAAACGACATTTCTTATAAAATTTTTATTTCACGATGACAATTTTAATGCTTGCTTTACCAAAAATATAATCTGTTTTAAATGGGGCGACACGATGCTAGAAGAGCAAAAAATCTAACTTATGGAAAGTCAAGTCAATTTTATAAAATTTGGATACAAACTTGTTCTATATTTTTTGCTTTTTAATATAGCATATTTTCATTTTTTAATAATTTGTAATTAAATGTTTAAATTCAAAAATAACATTTTGTACATTCCCAACATTCGGGGAAAACTCGGCATTTGAATCTGGTTACTGTGCAATAAAACTTTGCTTTATGACGGTCTTAGCTGACATGACTGAAGTCTTTATGACAGCTAGATAAATGGTTGTTTTATATTTTAGATTTAAAATATTTGAGAGACAAATTTTAATTGTTTAACTTCGTTTCTTCTTCCCAAGTTGTAAAATTTTAATAAAAAATATATAGTTGTATTAATATTTTCTTGAATTTTCATAATATATTCGCTACAGCTATCTTTCTCGTCATCAGTATTATAACCAAAATTAATACTGATAACATCAAAGCATCGAATGTCTTGATGGTTATCTTTATATGATTCTATCGACATTTTTATCTCTATCATTTCATCCTCGTCATCATCTTCCTCCCGTTGTCATCATCGTCAACATCATCATCATCATCTTCATCATTATCATCATCAACTTTGTCATCATCATCATCATCATCATCATCAACAACTTCGTCATCAACTTTTTTCTTCTTCTTCTTCTTCTTCTTCTTCTTCATCATCATCTTCATCATCTTCATCAACTTCGTCATCTTCATCAACATTTTCGTCATCTTCTTCATCATCATCATCAGCATCACCAGTGTGCTAATGGTCAACGCATTACCACACGCTAGCCATCAACAAAAGAAGGAGAAAAAAAAATTCTAAAATGAAATGGAAGAATTAAAAGAAGAAAGTGGAAGACAGACAAGAGACCAAGATTGAGAGATAGAAAAAAAAGAAACAGAAAAAACGAATGAGAGATAGGTAGAATAAAGAAGAGATAGAGAGAGAGAGAGAGAGAGAGAGAGAGAGAGAGAGAGAGAGAAAGAGAGAGAGAGAAACTAGAGAAATAATTTGGTTGAAAGAAGACAAATCCAGATGTTGTGACTGAGCTGGAGAAGGAATGAAGAAAGTTTGAAAGAAAAAAAATTGGACAAAGAGAAAAAGAGAAAGAGAAAGGAAAAGTGAGAGAGAGAGAGAGAAAGTGAGAGAGAGAGTTTTAAATTGAAAAATCACGTATGCAGACTCTGTAACCTGATATCAGAGTGAGCTTTGCATTACTTTACCTTTAACAGTCCATTGTTGCTTTTGCTCTTATTATTATTATTATTATTCTTTTATTTTCTGTTGTTGTTATTATTGTTGTTGTTGATGAGATTTTGTTGTTATTAATAAATAATAAATCGTAACTAATAACTTTTTTTGAATTTTAAATCTCTCAAAAAGGTTCGCTAAAATGAAATCACTGATGACGATGATGATAATGATTATGACGACGACGACGATGATGATGACGACGATAATGATGATGATCAGAAGAGAGGCGTGAAATTGTTTCGAAGTATTTCTGTACGACGCTGTTGGATACTACTGAAGTTGCCATGCTTCACTATGGTCGATCGATGCATGGATGGATGAATGAAAGAATGAATGAATGAATGAATGAATGAATGAATGAATGAATGAATGAATGAATGAATAGGTAGATAGGTTATTGAGTTAATGTACAAATGAATGATGATGATAGCAATCAACGTTTATGCCGACGACAACGATGTTGACGACGACAGTGGTGATAATGATGATGATAAAATGCTGCTGCTGTTGCTACTGCTGCTGCTGCTGCTAATGATGATGATGATGATGACGATGATGTGAACGCAATGAAATTGCTTGAAATCTCATGTCAATCAGCCTAGCAGAACAATTGCATCTAATGGACATCTATGCTTCAACGTACTCACATCATCATCACCAGCATCACCATCATCATCATTATCATCATCATTGCCATCAATTGACCATTATCATCACTACTACAACAATCATCTTTGTTTTCGTCATCGTCGTCATCATTATGTTTTTCTTTTCTTCATAAAACGTATTCATTCTCAATATTAACGCTAACATCACGTAATAAAATATAGTCGTCAATTGAACTTATAAATATCTTTATCGTCATCATCATCATCATCATCATCATCCCCATCATCATCATCATCATCATCATCATCAACGCCACCATCTTTATCGTCATCATCATCATCACAATCACCATCAACATCATCCTCGTCGTCATAGCCATCATTCTCATCACCATCATCACCATTATCATCATCGTTGTCGTCATCATCATCATCATTCCCCTTATTTTTATTCCACACAATGTCACCGTGGTCATTTTCCCTCAACCGGTATCTCTCCATCCATCTCTCTTTTCCTGTCACTCTCTCTCCTTTTATCTCAGCGGACCAATGAGAGTTCAGCGTAGTGTCAGGTGCACTCTGATTGGCTGACGTAATTTTAGGAGGCCGGAAATGATTATGAGCCGCTATTAAATCTGCGATGAATAATGTGCAGAAAAATAAAAATAAAAGAATAATAACAATAATAGCAATTTAAGTAATAATTATAACAGCGATAATAATAATATTAATAATACTAATAATAGCAATAACAACAACAACAACAACAACAATAATAATAATAATAATAATGATAAGCAAAAAAAGCACACAAAAAAACTTATAAAACCACACACACACACACACACACACACACACACACACACACACAGAGAGAGAGAGAGAGAGAGAGAGAGAGAGAGAGAGAGAGAGAGAGAGAGAGAGAGAGACTCAAACAAAACAAACAAAGGGACGAAATATTATTAGCAAAGAAAACAGCTGTCCTCTATGTCAGTCAAAAGTTAAAAATAATATATATTATATTATATATAATATATATATATATATTATATATTTATATTATATATAATAATTATTATTATTATTATGAGTGTTCGTTTGTCGCTTTTTCAAATCTCCTCACAAACACCATTAACTAAAATCATAAATTGTCCAGAGAAGATAAGTAAGCACTCGAATCCTTTCGAAACATTGCAAGGGAGAGATCCGTGTCTCGTGATTGTTGCGGCAGACTATTTCAAATCCTTGACCCAACAATGGCAAAATTTCTTGATCCTATTTTCAATTTAGTGAAAAGAACTTTTAGCAGATCTAAATCATCTGAACGCAATCTATAAGTCGATGCATTGGAAAATCCCTCTGAACAATTTTTTCTTGAAGGCATTTGAGATCCAGGCCATTCCAGCATTTATAAACTACAATTCAGCAACTCTGAATACAACTCTTATAATATATGGTTATGGGTGTATGCATATTGGGCTTAGAAATGATGATGATGAAGATGGGTATAGAAAAGATGATGATGGTGGTGTTGGTGATGATGATGACGACGACGATGGTGGTGTTGGTGATGACGGCGATGGTGGTAGGCGGATGCAGGTGCTGAAACAGGAAATGCTGATAGGCTGTTGAGAAAACGTACACCAATGAAATGATTTGAGTGTATGGATGTATGTATGCATGTATGTATGTATGTATGTATGTATGTATGTATGCATGCATGTATGTATGTATGTATGTATGTATGTATGTATGTATGTATGTATGTATGTATGTATGTATGTATGTATGTATGTATGTATGTATGTATGTATGTATGTATGTATGTATGTATGTATGTATGTATGTATGTATGTATGTATGTATGTAAGTATATATATATATATATATATATATATATATATACATATATAATTAATAACAACAACAACAACAACAACAACGTCAACAACAACATCAACAACAACAACAATAACAGTAACACGACAAGCATACATTTCACTGATGCATGAAAAATCTCGATAAAGAATAATGCTCTCAGGAAAAAATTATATATATGCCAAACATTGCACGGCTCAAACACCCACACACACATTTACACACACACACATTTACACACATACACACCCACACATCCACAAACATATATACAAAAACACATACAAAATCATGTTAAAATACATATAAACAGTAATTTGATGTTCCGTTATTTATACAAATATGTACGTATACACCTTTACATTTGTGTACATTTACTTATTAAGTCGTACATATAAGCAAATTTTCGTTACTCATACGTGTACAATGTACATGTTTTTGTACATTATGTATGTATGTGTGTATTTAAGTATGTATGTATTTATGTATATATGGACGTACGTATGTATGTACATACGTTTGGTTTTTTTGTTTGTATTTATGTATGTTTGTACGTAGATATGCGTATGTATGTTTGTACGTAGGTATGTATTTATTTATGTGTGTATGTTTGTATGTATGTATGTATGTACGTACGTATGTTTGTATGTAGGTATGTATACGCGCGGTTGCAGAGGCTTGGAGTAAAAAGGCGAGGAAGGAAGTGAATGCTGGCATATCCTGCTTCTAGCTCATGGTAGATGCAACAATTTCACAAACATACAAACAGACATACTTACTTACATACAGATATACATACATACATACAAATCTACATACATACATACGTGTAAACATACTTGCATACATACAAACATACGTACAAACATACAGACATACATTTATAAAATCAGGCATACATTTGTGCATATACAATTATGAACATTCATACTAACATCTACACATGTGTACACATACTTTTGTATTCAAGCATATACACACATATTTACCTGCATATACAAACACACACAGACATACATATATTCAGATAGGTATTTCTTATGTGTATAAATTGGTACATAACCTAAATAAATTCACATACATACATACACACACACACATACACACACACACATACACAAACTTACACACACACACACACACACACACACTTACACATACATACATACATAGATACATAGTTATACAAACTGTTTTTTTTTTACTTCAAGTTATTTTTATGAATATTTTTATAAACTGTTTGATCAATTTCGCGTAAGAGTTTGTTCAAATGAAAACAATAAAACATATTAAATATAACATTTTATAAAAATAATAACAATAAATAATAGTAATAATAACAACACTAATTAAAATAATTATATTTATTAGTTTTATAACAACAACAATAATAATAAAAATATAATTGAAGTTGAAGCAAAGAGCTAAAATCGTATATTAGTATTGATACTGCTTGACCGAAGAATTGCAATACTAAAACTACTAACGTAGCAACAAATACTATCTATATTAACAATAATAACAAAAATAATAATAATAATAATAATTTACTTATAACAGCTTCATTTTTTTAAATTATAACGGTATTTTTCATTTGTTGGCTACCAAAACAGTGGACTGAAATTAATTAAAATTAATCGTCATTAATTAACACCAATTATCAATATAATTAATTAAAATTAACAGATTCAAAAATGATGATTAGACACGGAAAAAATATACATAGATACCAGACGTTAAAGAATGATACCAAGATGTAAAAAATGATATTGGATGATGATACTAATAACTCTGTTGATATAAATCATTTATTGGGATAAATTTTTTTGGATTTTTTTCAAGAGCACACCCATGACAAACAAACAGCCACTATTAGTAACTACAACCACAACCAAATCAACAACAACTTCTATTGCTACTACTACTACTGAAACAAAACCAGCGAATACTTCTACTGCTGCTGCTACAACGACTACTATTACTGCAAAAACAACAGCAGCAGGTACTGCTACTACTGCAACTGCAACTACTTTTACCGCATTAATATCTGCTACCATAACCACTACTCCAAGAATATCAATAAACGCTGTTGCAAGAACAGCAACAAACGTTACTGTCGCAACGAAATCCGCTACAAAAACGACTACCTCTACTACTGCTATTGCTGCTGCTACACCAACAACTACGACTACAAGTGCTACTACTACAGCCGCAACTTCGAGTGCTACAACGACATCCAAATCTTCGAATGGAGTGGAAGAAGGGGGTCTCCATAGACCCGTTTAAAAATTTCACGAGTAAGAACACAACAGAGGCAAGCAACATTCACAACAACAACAACAACAATAACAATAATAATAATAATAACATATCAAATCACATTCCGGGAAATCCCCATAAAAATATGGGAGGTTCCGTGCCAGGTCACTGCTCATTTCAGCTATCCGGGATAATGTTTTCCGCAGGTTTTTTTAAATTCTAAATTTTTTAAGTTTCTTTGGTAACATGTTTGATGTCGTAATTAATTTGTGATGAATTGTCTGTTATATTTTTATTTCATAGAAAAAAAAAATGTTGTCTTAGTTTTATTTCGTCACAAATGATAATACTGACAATGATCGTCTCACTATCATCGTCGTCGTCGTCATCATCATCATTATAGATACGTACCCAAAATCAACATGGAGTCCCCATCCACCCCACTACACTTCTGAAGGTTTGTTTATTATTTTTATTGTTATTATTATTTTTATTGTTATTATTATTATTGTTATTATTATTATTGAAATAAAGGAATGAATGCGTCATACATTGACAGATTTCATAATATGATAGTGTAATGGTTAGAAGCGCCTGCTCTTGGGTTACAGTCACCACCGGGTTCAATTAACATTTCATCTATGGTATTTATGAATTATGCGCCGAAGAGAAAAAGAGAAAGAGAGAGAGAGAGTTATGAAAAGAAAAAAAATAGAAAAAAGAGAAAGAAAGAGAAAGAGAGAAAAAGAAGCGAGAATTATATTTTTTTTATTATTACCAAGGCATATATATATATATAATCATTTTTATGAAGATAGCCATGACTAACAATCAATGATAATACTGACAATGATTTTAACAACAATGACGATGATGACGACGACGATGATGATTAAGTTTGGAATCCATAAAACTTCATATACATAGAGTGACAGGTATCAGATTAATTTTCTTCTTCATTCATCGCTTCGTGCCTGTAGAACTGTGTCATTTTATCTCACTGACTCTTCTAAATACTCACCAAAAAATACCTAATGTCATTTTATCTCACTGACTCTTCTAAATACTCACCAAAAAATACCTAGAAATAAGCAAACATACCTGAGCATACACTAACATGCAAAAAACGCCAGCTTAAATACGTAAAACACTGCCTAAATGTTGTATTTAAAAGATGAAATACCTTTTAAAACACGCCTTCTTACGTAAAGAGGAATATACACTTGCGCGGAAATATTACAGCTAAAATTACATGGAAATACAGCTTAGTATTCAAAACGCTTTTTAAGATATAGCAGAATGCCATTTAAAGTGCCTAATTGGTTTTAGAATTCGAAATTTTTTAAAAATTTAATCACGTATGTATATTGTATATTGGAAGTTTTAATAGATGGATAATTAAATGAACGAAAATGAAGGGAAGAAATTGAATGAATGAATGAATGAAGGAATGAATGAATAAATGAGTGAGTGAATGAATGAACTGACGAATGATATAATGATATAATGTACATGTTTTGTACATTGTATGTTTTGTATAATGTAATTGTATATACTGTACAATTTCATGTGTCAGTTTTGCCTTGCTAAATGATGATCGGTTTGAATGATTGAATAATTATAGGATAGCTTTTTCATTTGACCGTTAATGTATGTGCGTATGTGTGTGTTTGTTTGTTTATGTATATATAGATGTGTATGTGTGTGTGTGTGTGTGTGTGTGTGTGTGTGTGTGTGTGTGTGTGTGTGTGTGTGTGTGTGTAAGCATGTGTGAACGTGTTTGTGTGACTATGTATAATTTATGATTGTGATTTGCATCTCATATATGAATTGTATACATGTACGTGTGTGATGTGTGTGTGCGCGCGTGTGTGTGTGTGCGCGTGTGTGTATGTATATATTTAATTTATTTATTTTGTTTGTATCATTATAATATAAATATAAATATTAATGAATAAATAGTGTCATAAATTTATTTTAAAATTATTAAAATTAACGCAGGTCTATTGGCTAGAACCATCCACACATCAACCAAGTCAACAGTTGAAACTGCCTTTAACCACTGGCGACCACAAGGTAGCCAAAACTACTACTACTACTACTACTACTACTACTACTACTACTACTACTACTACTACTACTACTACTACTACTACTACTGCTACTACTATTACTACTACTACTACTACTGCTACTACTACTACTAGTACTACTACTACTACTACTACTACTACTACTACTACAGCTACAACAACAACAACTACTACTACTACTATCACTACAACAACTACAACTATTATTATCAGTTTTCCTCATCATCGCCACTACCATCATCATAATTTATATTATTTTTACTATCATTGTCATCACCGTGGTTGTCATCGTCATCATCACCATCTCGAACATCATCATCAGATTCGCATCTTGAGGCAATAAGTTCGGTTGAACTGTCGTTATTATG